TGAAATACAAAAGGAGCGTCGAAAAGGAAAACGAATAATACAATTGTACAGTTTACAACGTGCTCAAGTCCCTACTTACTGGGCCCCGGTCCACGCCGCCGCGACAGCGAGCGTGAACGACACGGATGCGATTGCCGCGCTGCTGGCCGCGGGCTTGGTCGTCGACGGGGCCGTCGTGACCGACGACGACGACGGCTTCGTCGTCACGATCGTCGCGTTGCCGGGCTTGGCCGTCGAGTTGCCACTGGGCGTCGACGCGCACTTGAGCGCCGCAAGCTGCGCCGTCGTGAACGTATCCTTCGTGCCCGGCGACGTCGGCGTCGCCGTCGACGTGAGCGCGGCGCCGGCCGTCCACGTGCAGCACGGGTCGCCGAGCTCTTCGCCGTTGGTCGCGCCATCGCCGTCCGAGTCGAGCTTGCAGAGCGCCGAGTTCCACGCGGCGCCGTTGGCCGCAAAGTCCTTGCCAAAAGCGTTGCGCGCGCCGCCGCCACTCGGGTCGACGTGGCCGATGGCCGCATTACCGGCGACCTTGTCGCCGTTGGGGAGGAGCGCAACGAACTTGCCAAAGCCCGAGGCCGACGGCACGAGGAGGCAGAGCGCAGCGAGCGAGAGAACCGACTTCATGATGTGGAGTGAAGCTTTTGGCAAATTGCAGAATGAGGGAAGCGCGGGATGGCCATCACAACGAACGCCGCCGCAACATCTGTTTTTTAATGGGGCCCACGCGGGTCATTCCATTCCAAATGTATCGATGTTTGTATGGGTGTGGGACTCTTGTGGCGTTGGGTCCCATCAAAACGAACCATCCAGTGAAAATTGTCGCACAGAGGCTGTTGCTGTTGTGGTCAAGTTCTCGCCCCGAATCTTGCGCGTTCTGTGCAAGTGCAAGCTGGCGCATTCGAAGCCCGCTGGCATGGGTACGTCGCGCCGGCTCGAGACAGCACCCATCACTGAAGAAAGCTTGGCTGATGTATCCTCTATTGCCCCCTTTATGCCAGACCATGTAGTCTTGGAGAGACTCGAGTGCATGGCCGCCCGTCGACGAGGTCACGAGTTGAAGAAGTTGCTTCCGTGCGTTACCAGCCTTGGTTCCAGTTGATTGCATGGCATTTGGTGCTTGGTTGGCTGGGCTCTATACTCAGAAATCAGGTCATGTCGTCGCCGCATGGAGCGGATGCCGCTCTTTTTTTGCCATCTGAGCCAAGAGATGACTTCGTCGGACGCGATCGCCCGCACTTGACGCCAACGTTAGCGCCGGTATGCGCAGGCGCGCTCGGATCTGAGACGTCGCGTACTGTACCACCGCTCCCCAAACGTCACCAGAGCATATAGTATCGTCTTGGCTGCACGTGGGGACCGTCGTCCGGGGCACAGTAAAGACGCAGCATCAACTAGCCCAAAACGGAGCTCCCGGGTCGTTCCCGGAATTTTGAAAAATTGAAAATGTTTTTCGTGCAAACGACAACGTAGCAAAACCCAAGGGTGCATCAAATATGCACCCTTACGATGGCGTCATCGCGTGTGTTATGCTCGCTTGCGTACAGGAATCTTCTTGACGCAGCTTTGCCTCGAAGTACCAGGAATTGGTATTTAGTCTTTTAATACCAGTAGAGCACTCGGGCCAACCTACGATGCGAACGGCCGAGTCGCATCGTCTGAGTTGGGAACCAGCGAGGCTGTCTCTGTCGTACGCTGCCCAGAGCAAAAGAGGACAGCCCGATCGCATGGTACTGGCAGCTCGAACGGCTGCACTCGATATTACCAAGGACCCTTGGTATTGTATTGAGTCATTGCCTCAGTCCTGAGCATCGCAAGCAAGCGTTTTTGCCTGTCGAGACCTAGGTCTAGGGTAGCGTTAGTGTTTATCCTTCCGCTGTACGTACTTCGGACAAGGCGCCGGCGGCAGCGCCCCCACGCACGACGCTGTCTAATACTTTCGTGCGCGGATGCGACAAGCTTCCTGCGTTGAGCTTGCAGCCAGAACTGCTGTGTTAACGCGAATAAACGTCACAACCAAGTGCTAGATTCAATAAAAAAGTGCCTTATTGACCCTTGCCAAGTCTTCAAAGAACTCATGGCAACGACAATCGAGATAGGACGCTCGGACAGCATTGCATCTCTGTCTACTACCAAGAATGCGTCGACTCGTTGTATGCAATGGAGTTTTGTTGTTGTTGATACGAGTTGGTAGAGTGCAATTGTGGGTTGCTGTACGCATTGTAGTCGAGCACGAAGAGCTACGCCGTCGACTTGGCCGATTTCTCGATGCGTCGCAGAAGGATGCTGAGTTTTGCTTGGTCGTTGGGAAGGGCTTCGCTGCATTCGCTACAGGCTGTCGCTTCCATCGATTGCGGTGCGCCGCAGCAGACGCAGACGAGACCTTCGTAGATCTCCCATCCTTCCTTCTTGGCAACGGCCATGCGCTTCAAAAGGACTTGGAGCTTGGCCGGAGCGGAAGCGAGCTCTTCGGTACACGACTCACAGTGCGTCTGGAGAAGCGAGTTGAATGTGCAACAGAGCTGGCACATGAATTGCGTGCTCACGAGCGTCGAGGGGACGACTGCGTCTACGATGGCAGTAGGTAAGGCTGTCGAGATACCACCGAGAGGCTTCGTCTCGTCGATGGTCTCACCGCCGTGCTCAGGGATGCGAGAGGTGCAATGGAGGACGCGGGCGCGACGACAGCCGCCTCTTCATTGGTGTCGATAGACATTACGCTCGTCAGTGGCTCGATCGAAGGCTCTGGGCTCTTGTCCGACATGATGGACTAGAGTTGGTTTGAATCATCCAGCAGGGACTCTTTCAGAGAGCGACACATACCCCTGGGCTACTCACAGCACGCGGCTCGGCTAACTTGGTCGTTGGCCCCTGCACGAGAAGTGCTGAAAGCTCCTCTTCGCTGCGGCCGAGCAGCTTTTGAAGCGACTCGACAATCATCAGTGCCGACGGACGCTGCGTCGGGTCAAAGGACATGCAGGCGTCGGCGAGAGCTCGCAGCCAAGGCGGACAGTTGACGCTTACTGTCGGACGGAGGTTGCCGAGACGCACGCCGTCGATGATACCCCAGTACCCAAGGCCCTTGGCATCGTAGTACGGTAGTTGAAGCGTCTCCAGCTCGGTCAAAATGACGCCAAACGAGTAAATGTCGGACGCAAAGCTGTAGTTGCTCGTCGACGCAAGCACTTCGGGCGCTGTCCAGTACGGTGTGCTCTTGCCCGTCGTTGCGTCCGACTCGAGGCCAGAACCGAGGTTTGCGACTTTAATGTAGCTTGTCGAGGAGAGGAGGACGTTGTAGCTCTCGAGGTCGTGGTGGAAGACGCCGTTGTGGTGCAAATCAGCGAGCGCATTCGCCAGCACCCACGCGACTTGCAGTGGTGAGACGTCGACCTTGGTGGGTTGACCAAGTCGCTTGGGGTCGAGGTAGCTGCGCAAATCACCGCTGTCCATGTACTCGAGAATAAGCTTGGGACTCGATGTGTTGACATTTGAGACGGCGAGCAGCTGCTGCACGTACGGCGAGTTGCACCTACAGCCATCGACGTTGAGATTTTGCACAAGACCAAGTTGATCTACTGCTGCATGGTCCCCATCTCATGGATGATTGCTTGGGCGGAGGATTCGTCGACAGGCGTTTTGATGGCGGCGACACGGCCCTTGTACGTGCCCTTGTACACCGCACCATAGATTGGACTAGATTTGTCCATCTCGATGTCCGTCGCTGGCACCTAACGACGTCCATCTTGGACAACGATCGACTCTAGGAAACTGATGTGTACGCTGGGGATGACACGGTGCGCGGCTGTCTGAAGCATCGCGGCAAGGCGTCGGTGGCCCATTTGCATGGCTAGAGTCACCGGCGTCACGTCCGCCTAAAAAGCAACAATATTGTCCTTGTCATCTGTACCGTCGACCGCTTTGTTAGTACCGCATTGCGGACGTCGACGTTGATGCCGGGCGATCGCAAGAGCGCCGCCAATTTCTTGTGATCGTTGGCTTGAACAGCGAGATGCAGAGGTGCGTCGCCCGCCTACACCGACCGTTCCAGCGTCGCTTGGATGCTCAGCAACAAGTCAACGCATTTACCTCGTTCGCAGTGTTGAATTGACACTCGTCGGCCAGCAGCTCGTGGCTAGCGTCATTCTTGCATACAGCTTGGACACGCACCTACACCATATATATGGGTGGACGTGTATGGTCCAAAATAAAATGTACGTTGGCGCTGTGTGTGCCCTTGGGTCGATCCACCGAGGCCTGCAACGTAGAAATGGACTTGTGGCATGCAGCACTCGTATTACCCGCAACGCTACGTGACCGACGTCGAGGCGGTCGCAAACCCGCTGGACGAGTTTGCGTAGCGTCGCCTCCGAGTCGCAGACACGCGCGATGATGATGTCTAGCATGGTCTCGGAGAGCTCAGGGACCTATGACGTTTATACTTGCAGAAGAATGCGTTGGATCATGCCGACTACCTTTTGCTTGGTCGACTTTTCTGCCTGTAGCAGGGTGTTGATGACGAGGGGGTGGGTCGCTAACATCAACGGCGTCTTGCCGGTCTAGGAATCACGTCATCGTAGAGCTATGAGGTGCGTTGCGATGGCGAGACCTTGTCTTTGGTAAAGACATTGGCGTCGTCGTCCAAGAGATACTTGACCACACTGTCGTGGGCCTTCTTCGCCGCGATGTGGAGTGGTGTCTGCCCCATCTAGTTTAAACGAGGTAGGAGTTGGACTGATTCTATCACATACAACATTGTCTACCGCATCACACGCTTCGATGCTGACGCCACACTGGACGATTTGATGGAGGACGCTCATGCTACCACCCATTGCGGCCGCGTGCAGCAGCGCCGATCCATCCTAGTTACATTGCAATGACCCCTTTTGATTGCGAATCACCTAAAGGCAGTACGTGGGAAATGACACGGGGGTTGGCATGGCCATGAAGGAGACATTGGACAACATCGGCGTGGCCACCGGTCGCAGCGACAAAAAGGGGTGATTCCCCATTCTACACCAGTTCAAAATCAAACAATCAAAACCAAGGAGAGTGTACGTACGAGGTTGGCGATGTCGATGGCGATCTCGTCCGTGGTCACTTGTTGGAGCATTGTGAGGATGGACGTGTACCCCTTCGCAGCCGCCACATGCCACGCCGTCTCGCCTTTCTAGATCAAAACAAATGCTTTGACCTTTCTCCACATTCAAAATTATACATACCTCGTTGGCCAGTGAGCTGCTTACGCCCAGACGCAGTAGTTGAGCTGCCGTGCTACCGTCGTTGGTGGCGGCTGCTTGGCGCAAAGCGGTGCCCAAGGCTGGTGTTTAAGCGCGTAGACTCTGTACCGCACCATCAATTTCTCAGTAAAACGATTGAAATCTCTGACCTTGTCAACAAAATCGACGGATGCGCCCGCTTGGAGCAGCGCGAGGGCTGCCTTTACGTTGCCAGTGGTGATCGCGACTGCGAGGGCCGTGCAGCTCGTCTATCCCATCCCAAATGGGGTGAGAATGTCGGACAAAAACCGATTTATGGAAATACCGGGTCGGTGGCATCGATGTCGAGGTCTGGGTTTTGAAGCAGCTTTTCAAGTAGCGATAGATCCTGCGATATCACGACCCTGTGCAGCAACGGCGTCTCCGACTACACTCATTCTCGTATCCATCGACGGTATCGTAAAATGCGTACTACGCTGTCACGGAGATTGACGTGGATAAAGTTGTCCTTGAGAATGCGCGCGGCGTCAGGAAGACGCTTGTTGCGCAATGCGTCAAAGAGCTACGACCCAGGCGCAGTATAGACGCGGCAGATGCTTACACACATTTTGATCAACGATATACCTGACGTTGCATGCGAGGATAGTTGCGCAAAAGCTGTGCGACTGGATCGATATAATCGCGTGCTTCTGCGATATCAAGCGGCGCTTTGCCATCCTAGAAAGAACAAGTTGTTGTTCATTGACGATGCCTTGATGTCATGCCAGCACCATACGACGGCGTGGTGGTTGTACGTACGTTGTTTTGGCGTCGATTTTGGCGCCTTTTTCCAAGAGGAGATTGACAATTTCCAACTTGTTGCCTTGAACGGCACGGTGCAGTGGTGTTGCACACGCCTACGTCAATAATAGGCTTCCAAAAGAAAGATGTAGAAAGATGAAAGCGTACCGAATCGGAGGCTTCCAACTTGGCGCCTTTGTCGAGCAAGAGGCGAACGATGTCCAAATGACCTTCGGAAGCAGCTTGGTGCAATGACGTCAACCCATTCTACACAGCAGTTGTTTGAAAACAAGCAAGATAAAGAGCATTATTATATCAATGCACAAATCATACCTTGTCGCACGCTTCCGCATTGGCGCCTTTTGCAAGCAGGAGGCGGACGATCTCCACTTGACCCTTGGAAGCAGCGTTGAGCAATGACGTTCGACCATCCTAGTGTCAAATCGACACTCGAAAACAACGTCACATTGATAAAAGCGTACCGAATCGGACACTTCCAACTTGGCGCCTTTGTCGAGCAAGAGGCGGACGATCTCCAAATGCCCATAAGAAGCAGCGTAGTACAGTGGCGTCAACCCTTTCTACACAGCAGTCGTATGAATACAAGCAAGATAAATAGCACTGTTATGTCAATGCACAAATCATACCTTGTCGCACGCTTCCAACTTGGCGCCTTTCTCAAGCAGGAGGCGGACGACGTCCAAATGACCCTTGGGAGCAGCTACGTGCAATGGCGTCGAGTCACTCTACACAACAGTTAAGCAACATGAATAATGCTATATCGTCGATAGAAAAACCATACCTTGTCACACGCCTCCACGTTCGCGCCTTTTTCAAGCAAGAAGTAGACAAAGTCTACTTGACCCTTGGAAGCAGCGTTGTGCAATGACGTTCGACCATCCTAGACAATAGTTGCATCCATTCAAGTCAGCTGAAGCAAGCTCCAAGCTGGATACAAAAATCATACCTTGGCGCACGCTTCCACATTGGCGCCTTTGTCGAGCAAAAGGCGAACGACGTCCAATTTACCATTGGAAGCAGCGTAGTACAGTGGCGTCAACCCGTCCTACACAGCAGTTGCATCCATTGAAGCAATAGAAAAAGGCTGTTATGCCAATGCACATAGCATACCTTATCAAGTGCTTCCAACTTGGCGCCTTTTCCAAGCAAGAGGCGAACGACATCCACGTGACCTCCAGAAGCAGCGGAGTGTAATGGCGTCCGAAGATTCTATTCCAATGGATTACAATGTAAATCAATTCAATTCGAGAGATCCAACGTACGTGGTCTGTGCAGTTGACGTTGACGCGTAGGTTGAGATAATATTGGACTTGAGCCACGTCGCCAATTGATGCAAAGTAGAGAAGCTTGATCTACATCATCGCTCGTTCACATCGTCGCAGGTCGCATGGTCGTCGTTCTACCTCGTTGTCCGTTGGCATCTTCCGTCGCCGTCAATTTGAAAACTGACATTCTCCCCCTTTTCATTGGCGTCTTTTCAACCAATCCACGCTCGACATATCACAACCGGACGACGCCATATCTTTTTCAGATAAGCAAACCAAGAGTCAAGATTTGGTTGCTCCGATCGAGGCAGTCATCACCGCAGAAAAGAGCAGACCTGTTCTGGTGTTGTGGGCCACCTTGGAGCACGAGTACATATGTGGGCGACTCACTAAACTACCTGAAACGACATGGGCAGCCGGGGATCCGATTCGGATCCAGCGTGCTATCGGTGAAGGTGTTGGCCAGGAATGGCTTCGCGTTCACTTGAAAAAGGTTTTCGCAGGAACCTAATGTGCACTGGATACTGTACAACTTTTTACCACCAAGGACAAAGATGACCTCCAGAGGTCAACAGCTATTCCCAGGACCGCCTTCAGTCCAAGCTGCGTCAAGTCGCCACCAAGAAGCAACGACTAATATACTGCCTGTACGATGACGCGTAGAAAACCAATCGGACACACGACCAAGTGTGAAAAGTGTACCGTAAAATCCCGGCCGTCCTGGGCGTTTTCTCGAGTAAGTACACTCTCCGACATGTGCTTCAACGCCAGACGAATACACTGTATTCAACAAATACTCTGTATTTTTAAAGTCAATAGAGAGCCGCGACGACCGTCCCCACGAGGGTTGTGGCCGCTGCGTACGAGACGGCGCCCGAGGTGGGCTTGGGCGTCGGGTACGTCACGGACGGAGCAGCGGTATTCGCGTCCGAAGCGTTGCCGCCAGCCGACGGCAACGTCGTGCTGTTGGCGGACGAGGCGCACTTGAGCGATGCAAGCTGCGCCGTCGTAAACATGTTCTTGACGCCCGGGTGGGTTGGCGTCGCCTTGGATGCAAGCGTCGCGCCAGCCTTCCACGTGCAGCACGGATCGCCGAGCTCTTCGCCGTTGGTTGCGCCGTCGCCATCCGAGTCGAGCTGGCACAGCGCCGTGTTCCACGCGAGCCCGTTGGTGCTAAAGTCGCTCCCAAAAGCGTTGCGGCTGCCGCCGCCGCTCGGGTTGACGTGGCCGATGGCGCTGACGCCTGGGACATTCTCGCCGTTGGGAAGCCGCGATACGTACTGCGGGCGGCTATGGACGCCGACGAGGATCGCGGCGAGGACGAGGACGAGGCGAGGCTGCATGCTGGCAAGTTTGGATCTGGCCTCACGTCCACGACTTCAACTCGGTTTCCTTATCCGAGTACATTTTCTGTCGCGTTGTGTCAATGGACCAGTCTCTGCGGATGCCCTGCTATATCTGGGTCATCTATTGACGTCACCATCAAAGAAGTGCCAATACAGCTAGCGCAAATCACCGCAAGAGACGCGGGCGTAGCGTGGTACAGCAGACACCTTCCTTCCTGGGTGCGACATGGGTGCGAGGAAGCTCCAAGTGTACTCATCTAGAGGAATCAGAGTCAGACCAATCAGACACCTCATACCGGTACTAGTAGACTAGTAGCGAGCGTCCAGCAGCTCGGCCAGTCCTGTCTCTAACAAGTAGGCTGGAGGGTGATTGTGATGGGACGCGTCTCCATAGCAACTCGACGCTTGCTAAACAGTTGCACAGCTTGAATCGGCCCCGCTAGCGCCATTGAGAGTCATGTGGGGTGCGCACCAAGGCACCAAGCGGAGACGCTTCCAATGCTTGAGGACCTCAGTCCTAATATCCATCTATCTATCTAACTATCCATCCATCGATCTATCGAAGCCATGAACATGCTTCCTCTTATCTTTCCTCGTCCTGTGGCTGCTTCAAGATTAAAGTCAGTGGATGGGAAAGTGCAAGTTTACAGGTTTTAACGACAGCGAGCAGATCTAGTCATGCTTGGTCTTGGGCGCGTCCGAGTCGGACGAGTGGCCTTCGTACTCGTCCTTGCTGGCGTTGTTGGGGCCGACCGTGAGCACGCCGTAGAGAAGCCGCATGAGGAGGAACGTCCACCAAATGTGCAGCGAGTACAAGGCGGCGAAGAGCGTGTTGAACCAGAGCCAGTGCGTCGGGCCGGGCGTCGGAAACAAAATCGAAAAGTCGAGCGCTGCGATCGGGTCCATGCACGACGCGCGCATCTCAAAGAGCGTCGAGTACATGAGCTTGGTCGGGAAGAGGTACACGCGGAAGTAGACCCACTGGACGAGCGTGAACGCAAACATAAACTCGGTGACGAACCAGCCTTCGCGGTTCTCGAGCTTGAGGTAGTTGACCATCTTCAAAAAGTCGAGCGGAATGTCGGAAATGTCGTGCAGGAACATGACGATGACGCCAATGGGGAGGTACCCGACTGCGTAACTCCAGATGATGAGCGAGATGGTCACGACGTGGTGGCCCATCATGACGAGGTGGTCCTTGCGCTTCTCTTCGAGAAATTCGCACGAAAAACCCACGTAGATGTACATGCCCTAAAGCCATCCATCGTCGTGAGCCAGAAGCCTCTGATCTTTGACGTAGTACCAGCTGGAAGACATAGAGCGTGTGCACGGCGCTGCTATATGAGGGAAAGGCGCCGGTCGCCGACGTATAGTCCCAGCCTACGGCAGCATAGAGATGTGAGCACGCTGCCAGCAGGATGGAGGAGGAAGGACGTACAGCTGCTCGTGTCCTGCCACCACGTCTCGTCGGCCATGACGACGAGCTCGGCGAGCGTCAGCACCGTGTGGAGCACGAGGAACCAGCCTTGGTCGCAGAACTTCTTCATCGCGATCGGCTTGCGGAGCGGATCGCCGAGGTGGTGGAGGTAGTTGCGCGAGAGCCAGGCGCCAAAGACGCGGAAAAAGCCCTTGGTCACATGGATGGCGACAGCGACGCCGAGGACGGACGCGATGAGCAGCGGGAGGTACGCGCTGTCGAGGAGGTGCACGACGACGCCGATCAGCGCAAAGTAGGCCACCACGATCGGCACGTGGAGGTAGACGTTGGGCTTGAAGCCAGCCATGAGATTCTTCTGCTTCTGCCTGCGACGACCAATGCTCAAATGACTACGGCCCGCCACGACCTTTCTTTAGACCAGCTGGCACGCGCCGCCGCTCCTGATTGGTGGCCTGGAGACAGCCCATGCGGAGGTGCTTGGCGCGTCCATGCGTGTGTGCGTCGAAACACCCTCTACCATGCGCCGTCGCCAGTGACTCGAGTGGCTTGGGCCTCGTGCGCTCTCATAATGCGCGACGACGCGTGCAGAGCGGAGCCGTCGTGATCGGGGTGGCGGCGCTGACGTAGAATTCGCTTAACCAAGTAGCATGCATCCGTGCATGGTGGGATGACGTGGTCAGCGCGACGCCCGACGACGCGGCCCATCAATGCACGCGCCAACGCGTGGTCTATCGGCAAGAGGAAGCTTTTCTTTAGCGAGTGGGCGACGAGGCGAGAAGTAGGATAGGGTCGCCCGGTCTGGACGCGCAGCCCTTGGCGTTCGAGGTTGATCCTGCGCCATCTGGCACGGAGGTGGCCGAGACTGTACTTGAAGAAGGGAATAGAGTGCCATTACACGTGATTGCTCCGATGCGCCCGAGCACGTGTGGTTACGTATTCATTCATGGGAGCGGTTCGAGACGAGAATTGACAAGCGTATAGAGAGAGCTCTCAGAGCTCTCTATGGCCATGGGTGCTGGGCTGGGTGCTGGGTGCATCGTCGACTTATCCAGAACAACGCGGTGATGTGCATGGTCGACTGGTCTGTCTGTGGTAACCTAGGGCAATCTAAAAACACACCACCGCCGGCAACCCAAGCTCGCCCCGAATCCCAGGAGAGCGACTGAGGCGATACATCGTACTAAAGAGATGCCAGAGCTCAACGCTACGACGTGTGTACCTACTCGATGCGATGCGAGCTTGCGATGCGTGCAAAGGTGCAAATGTGCGAATGTGCAATGTGCGTGCATTTAGACCATACATATCCGGATGTACGGCGCAATCTGCCGGATACAGGCCACCGGTTGGTGGCGGATAAAAATCGCAGCCGCATGGACGTCCGACGCGAGAGCCCGCCGCTGCGCATTCGGCAGGTCATCGTACGCGGCAACAAGCGCACGAGGTAGCCATCGCATGCACCTATTCGTATGCTTACGGTTGCCTAGCCCCGAGATCTTTGAGCATGAGCTGCAGGTAGGCTAGCGACGAGAGGAGGACGCCGCCCACACGCTAATGCGTAGGCTGCATACGCTGCGAGCTCGTTCGCTGGCGTCGCCGAGTCGTTGAACCACGCCGCCGAGGTACGCCGCACCGTCATGCTCGTAGCAGCATGCGATGGATGCGTAGGAGCTGCGCAACCTCAGCATCTTCGAGTCGGTCGACATCTTGATTGACACGGGTTTGATGCTATGTACTGTGGCCTATACATCACGTCTGTATAGCCCCCGGCGGCAACCGCAACGAGGCGGATGTGACGATCACGGTCAAGGAGCTGGGCATGGCATCCGTGTACGCGGGCGTCAACTCGGACGGGCACGAAGGCACGGCGGTATCGTCGTCGGTCGTCGGCCGTCCATCGACACTTATGACGATGGTAGAACACAACGTGCACGCTGACCAACCCGCTGGGGCACGCCGAGCGCATTGAGCTCTCGGCGTCGCACGGCCAGTTTGGCAGCGACACGCAAAAGGCGTCGTACCACAAGCCTAAGTTTCTCGGGCTGCCTGTCTGGCTCAACGCCAACGCGGTCAACGAGGTGCTCAACCACGACCGGTTCAGCTCGTACCACGAACGCTTCCGCGGCGGTACCGTCTCGCTCACGGACGACGAGTCGCGCCACGAGGTCGGTCGTCTTCGTATCCTCGGCGTGGTCTCAATGTTTATGGTTCGACAGCTCGCGCTGAACCTTGGCTGGCGCGATATTGTGCCGGTCCGCAACAAGAAGATCCCGTCGACGTACGCTGCGTCGCCGAGCATCATGGCCGAGGCCGAGCCGTCGACCAAGAGCAGCATCAAGGTACCGATCAACACCGTTTTTCAGTTGGAGCGACTTTGGTTGGCTAGTACGTCTACAACGACGACCAGCGGAACGACGCGGCGCTGCCGACGGCGGGTCGACTTTTGCGCACGAGGTAAGTACGTTGGAGAAAGAGGTGGTCATGGCAAAGTGGCGTGTGTCTAGCATGGAAGTGGCCGGGCTCTGGGGCGATGTCAACGTACGGCTACACGCACGCCATTGGGAGTGCATTGGGCCAAACTGGTTTGGTGCGTAGTTTGTCAAGGGCGAAGTCGAAGTGCAGCGTCATTACCCGATCGGCCCGGTCGCGTACAACCACCCGATCCTCAACCTCTCGCTCTCGTCGCGCGTTGGTCCGTCGCATCCTCAACTACGATCTGAGTGTGACGCGTCGTGGGTCCCATAGGCGCGGTCAAGTCGTACGGTGCTGACCGCCACCAGCCTGCGCGCATCTCGGACCGCTTCTTCCTCGGCGGTCCGCTCACGCTGCGCGGCTTCAACCACAAGGTACTTGCGCACACGACGAGGACATGTTTCCATCTACCAAGTAGGGCGTGGGGTCCCGCGGGGCCAACCCCGACGACGGCGGTGTCGCGACCGGCGATGCGCTTGGCGGCGAGTTTTACTACAGTGCGTGCGCGAGCCTTGGGTTCCCGTTCCCGTTGCCGCTCTTGGCGGTAGGGATGAGTTTGAGATGCGCGCATCTGAGAGCACACCTATAGATCTTGGGTGTCCGCGGCCATGCTTTTGCAACGCTGGCAGCCTCATGAGCTGGGACCGCGTCCTCGACGAGCGCGCGTGGATGAAGAACCTTTTGAGCGAGACGCGCGCGGCGGCCGGCGTCGGCGTCGTCATGGGCACACGCTTTGGCCGCTTCGAAGCCAACTACTCGTGGGTGCTCAAGTCCCTCGCTGGTGTACGTTATACTATTGTCCTGTACCGCGTCGACTACTTCAACATTAGGACCGCGTCAAGCGTGCGCAGCTCGGCCTGGGTCTGCACTTTATCTAGAAGAGCCGTGTATAGAACTGCCATAGTACATCTCTTTTTGGGCATCCCCAACCCTCGCTGAGCGCCGAACGCGGGCCAAGTTGCCGCCTATGGTGCGTATGCTGTAATTCAGTGAAACGCCGAAGTGCAGCGTCGGATACAAACTGGGTCCATTTCGCTCCGCGCGAAGCGGACGGTGTCGTGAGGCGAGCTACTTGGCATATCCCACAGATGGAGGTGGCAAGAGACTGCGGGTAGACAACAAATGGGCCTGCCGCAGCGTGCTCTGGCGTATTCCTGCATGAGCTGATGCGGTCACGACAGCTCAAGTCGCCCGGAACAGAGTACCCAAAGCCTACTCGCTCATGAATCGTGCTTCGCGACTGGGTAATACGCCCGCAATGTATCTGGGAGCGAATGCAGGCAGGCGACCTCAACGTTGTATACCGGTATCTCCAACGTCTTGTCCATCTCGTCTTCCAAGCTCACCGACGCTTCTCCAACGCAACATTCGAGTTGAAAGTTTGCATCGGTCTGCTGCAACGCCGAGACATCTCCCGCTCTTCGCGCCCTCGCTGGTGGCGCCACGCCGCGGTGCCACCCAGTGCGCCAACGCGGGTGGAGACGACGTGATGTTGGTGACAACCAAAAAGAACCACCGGTGTACCGTAATGTGCGACCATCTCGCCTCAAGATTCATTGTGGAAGCCAATCGCATGCACCTTGAAGGCAACCCGCTCGCGGTTGAAGTGGACGACCTTACTGGATCCAAGTCAAGTCGTACAACATGCACCCATACACGTACATGTCGTACATTACACTCGTACAATCTATAAGATCGCCATGGGTGTCAATCGCCAACTCGACGCATGCTGTGTGCACTGCCTCTGCTCTTGCTCGCCTGCGTGGCTGTCGACGCGTGCACCGTCATCGCCGTGACCAAGGGCGCGTCTGCCGACGGCGCGTCGTTGACAGCGCACACGGACGACACGGGCGGCGGCGCTGTGGATCTCCGCGTGGCGCATGTGCCGGCCAAGGACCATGCGCCGAACGCAAGCCGCCCCGTGTACGACTACACGGCAGGGTACCCTCGCCTTGTCGCCCATGAGCGCGGACCGCACTACGCACCCACCGAGGTACTATTCCTTCTGCTTCTAAGCGTAGCCGGCAACGAATCGTCGTCGTGTTAGGGCCAATCGCCCATGGTGCCATTAGGATTTATCCCGCAGGTGGCGCACACGTATGCGTACTTTGACCAAGTGTACGGCCTCATGAACGAAGCGCAGCTCAGCATTGCAGAGAGCACGTGCTCGGCCCGCACGGTAGCGTATTTTCTGGACCTTCCAATCTTTGTTATACTCGACCTGCAGGTGGGCTGGCCCGCGAGCAAGCCGTACGGCTACAACCTCTTCAGCATCGCCGAGCTCTCCAAGCTCGCGCTCGAGCGCTGCGACAGCGCGCGCTGTGCCATCCACACCATGGTAGTTTGATATGGACGTCTTGGTAGATGTCTTACAAATCCCACGTGTGTAGGGCGATGCGGCTGTCCAATATGGATTTTACAGCACGGACAGTGGCGAGCCGTCGGCGCCAGGGTACGACGACTCGTCCGAAACCCTCGTCATCGCCGACAAGTACGGCGAGACGTGGGTCTTCCACGTCCTCACGGGTTGGTGTATCATGTGTCAAAGTACCGAGTAGCTGATACAGTGATACTATAGGACCACAGAACGCCAGCGCGGTTTGGGCGGCGCAGCGTGTGCCGGACGGTCACGTGACGGCGGTGGCGAATTTTTTTACGATCCGGACGCTCAACCTCTCGGACAGCGACACGTTCTTGGCGTCACCGAACGTCGAGTCGTTTGCGCAAGAGATGGGGTGGTGGCACCCAACGGACGGTCCGCTTGACTTTACAAAGGCGTACGCACAGCCCGTGGACGGTCCCGTCGTGCCTCTCTACGGCGGCCGGCGTCTCTGGCGCATCTTTGATACGTTCGCGCCGTCGCTTGGTCTCGACCCGACGCTCGGGAGCCTCCCAGAGACGCCGACGTATCCTTTCTCGGTGAAGCCCGACGCGCCTGTGACGCTCAATGCCGTCATGGAGCTGCTCAAGGACCATTACGAAGGCACGCCGTACGACATGACCAAGGGCGTAGCGGCCGGGCCCTTTGGGTCGCCCTTGCGGTACACGCTTGTGCTACCGCGTTCGCTAACGAGGCGTGCTTTTAGCTACGACTCGCCGGCTCACGGCGTGTCGGGTGGGTGGGAGCGCTCGATCTCAATGCACCGCACGCTCTACAGCTTTGTCCACCAAGTGTTTCCAGGTACTAGTACTTCCTATATTGATGTCCCTCCAAAAGGGCTGCATATATCTGTGCGAACCTAGGCAAGGCGTCACCGGGTTTCATTTGGTATGGCCAAGGCGCTCCCCACGGCACCGTATACATTCCGTTCTCAAGTGCGCAGACGTCGGTGCCCACGCCGTATCTGCTCGGCACACAGAGCCGCTTTGATCCTGGCAGCCTCTGGTGGGTCCACGCGTTCGTCAACAACTGGTGCGCGCTGCGCTTCGACGTGATGAACGCCGACGTCCGGCGCGTCGCTCGTAAACTCCAGGAATCGCTACTGGCGACGGCGCCAACGATTGACGCGCAGGCCTTTGCCTCTTGGCAACACACGGCCGCCGACAACCTGCTGCGCGAGTGGTGGGCGCTCGCGTGGCGCCTTGTGAGCACCTACAGCGACGGCTACGCCACGACGGGCGAAGGTCCGAACGAGATGCGTGCGATTGGGTACCCTGCGTGGTGGCTCCAAGCCACCGAGTATCGCGAGTGGCCAGACCAGTCGTTCCAGCCGCCACCCACGACGCAGCTGGAGACATCCTCGGTGGTGATATCGAGGATGCTATGCGTGGTGTACGGCGGCGTCGGCCTCGTCCTTGGGATGGTTCTCATGTACCGTCTCCAGACAAACCGGCGGCTGCACTATCTGCGGCTCGACTAAGTTCTTAAAACGCCTGTGCAATATACCAACACGAAGATTGCTGCAAAGACGTGTTTCTTGTCTCGAGAAAGCCGCGTATTACGGCAGCTTGTGGTAGTGGCGGCGGCGGTTGGGCAGCATCGACATGATGGCGACGCCGAGCCCCACGCCGAGCAGCACGTAGAGGACGTTGGTCACGACCGAGCTCTCTTGGTGGTGCTTACTGGTGGCCAAAAGCACGGCGTCGGGCGGTGCATTCTTGAACGAGTCGCCGGGCCAGAGCACGTACTCGGTCGTGTTCAACCACGAGAGCGGGTAGCCGTTGACTTGCATGTCGCCCTCGCCGGTCGCAATGTAGCCATCGCTGTACTTGCCAATGAGGCTCCACGCGAACGCCCACCAGCCATGAAAGAGCTTGGTTGCAAGGCCATTGTCGCCGCCTCCATCTCGTGGACGGACGAAGCGCTGGTCGAGAGGTTGCTGCGAAGTGCAAAAGCCTCGCTTTGCCACTTGCGCGCCTCGAGCCGGACGTCAGCGTTGATGACGCTGAAGCGCAAGAGGCTCCAGTTGTTCACGAATGCAAAGGCCCACCACATGCTGTCCGTGCTAAAGACGCTCTCCTTTCCAAGGAGGTACGCTTTGGGAATCTTGGATTGCCCGCACGAGAACGGCGCGTAGACGGTACCGTGGGGCGAGCCCTGGCCATACCAGAGCGTTCCGCCGAGGCCATCGTCCTTGACCGTGTCCTGACCTAAGGACGTGTCGAGGTAAGTTCGCAGCGTCCTTCTTGATATATGTGTCGTACTTTGGACGTGGAGCACAAAGCTAAACATGGTGCGGTACATGGAGATCGCGCGCTCCCAGCCGCCCTTGAGCACATGCGGCCCGTCGTAGCTAGTCGAAATGTCATGTGTTGCAGCTCTATCATGCTGCCACATACCGAACAGGCGCCCCAAAGGGCCCGGCCGCTACGCCCTTGGTCATGTCGTACGGCGTGCCTTCGTAGTGGTCCTTGAGCAGCTCCATGACGTCGTTGAGCGTCACAGGCGCGTCGGGCTTCACCGAGAAAGGGTACGTCGGGTACTCGACGCGGGCGCCAAGCGTCGAGTCGAGACCGAGCGACGGCGCAAACGTATCGAGGATGCGCCAGATGCGACGACCGGCGTACAGCGACAAGATCGGGCCGGGCACAGCAAATGCGTACGCCTTTGTAAAGTCGAGCGGACCCTCCGTTGGGTGCCACCACCCCATCTCTTGCGCAAACGACTCGACGTTCGGTGACGCCAAGAACGTGTCGCTCTCCGAGAGGTTGAGCGTCCGGATCGTGAAAAAATTCGCCACCGCCGTCACGTGACCGTCCGGCACACGCTGCGCCGCCCAAACCGCGCTGGCGTTCTGCGGCCCTACAATATCAACGTGTCAGCGGATTGATAGTTTGATAAATTACATGAAAGACAAACCTGTGAGGACGTGGAAGACCCACGTCTCGCCGTACTTGTCGGCGATGACGAGGGTTTCGGCCGAGTCGCCATACCCTGGCGCCGCGGGATCGCCACTGTCTTCGCTAAAGAACCCATATTGGACAGCCGCCTCGCCCTACATATAGTTTCATGAGATGGTGCTAGCATGAATATACCATGGGGTGGTAGAGTTACCATGGTACGGACGGCACAGCGCGCGCTGTCGCAGCGCTCGAGCGCGAGCTTGGACAGTTCAGCGATGCCAAAGAGGTTGTAGCCGTACGGCTTGCTCGAAGGCCAGCCCACCGTCTTCGCCGAGCACGTGCTCTCGGCGATGCTCAGGCGCACTTCGTTCATCATGCCATAGTCTTGGTCAAAGTACGCATAGGTATGGGCCACCTGCGGGATAAACCCCAGTGGCATTGTTAGGGCTTGGCCCTGCATGCAGACTGTCGTGAGGCCACGCAAGACAGCGACGTGTACCTCAACAGGCGCGTAGTGCGGTCCACGCTCCTTGGCCACGAGGCGCGGGTAGCCTCCGTTGAAGTCGTACACTGGGCGCTTGCTGCCCGGCGCGTGGTCCTGGGCGGGCACGTGCACGAGGCGCACATCCGCCGTCGACCAGCCAGCGTCGTCCGTGTGCGCTGTCAGCGAGGCGCCGTCAGCTGACGCGCCCTTGGTCACGGCGACGACGGTGCAGGCGTCGGCGGTCGCAGCGGCCAGCAGCAAGAGCGGGGCGAGGCGCATGGTGGTAAATGGCGTTCTGCCAGCGCGATCCAAAACGACCACCATGTACGAGTACGATCGTACACCAGTACGTAATACCGTACATTGCAGTGGCCCCTAGCCGTCAGTGGCGCCACCGCACTGTGTTGCAAGTCAGGTGCATCCTGCATGTACAGAGCAATCGGGTTGCTGAAGGACTCGGGTAGCTGCATCTGGTGACGGTGACGGTCGCATCACGCTGGTTGAAGTTCGTGTACCGGCGGACGATGTACCTGGACTTTTACTCGCTGTGATTGGTCAGCATGTGGATTGTTTTGGCCAATTAGATTGCGCGACCGATGGAAGCTCGTGGGCGTTCGTTCGTGAAGGGGCGACTTTTGGAGGTCGCTGTCGTCTGTCTGTCGCAGAATACTGTAGGAGAGCAGTAGGAGAGAGTACCTTGAGGACCATGCTATTATAATAGCTCAACTTCTAGTATCATGTTGGTGTTTTAACGATATGTCGTCCTATGCTGCCGTGTCGGACAGGTCGTGTTGATGGAGGATGACGACTTGCCTATCAACTTGCGAAAGAAGGATCGACTTGCAAAGCCGTCGGAACGAGGAACTGCAATCCGACCAGCTTTGTAGCATATCGAGTGTGTATTCCGCAGTTCTTATTGCTATGGTACAGGTTGTCGGCGGGGATGATAAATCAAGGGGCGCATTTGGCTCAAAGCATCTCGAACGGGCTCGACGGCGCATCAACGACGCATTCGAGGAGGAGCTGAATGTCTTCGTTGCTCCACGGCGGCAGCGCCTCGTCGTCGTTGAGGACGTCCCATGTCCATTCCGTCACCGCCATCCACGTCGCATCCGGTGGTGACGCTTTCCTCGCCGGCGACGCGTCGTGCAGCACAGGCCACCGCGGTTCAATCGCCGCTGCAGGTTTTTGGTGCACACGGTCTTTTCGGCGCTTGGTGTCGGCTCGGCGCTGGTTGCGGTTGTGCCGAATACGGTGCTCTTCGCAGAGCGAGTGCACCTGCTCGCCGTTGTACTTGAGCGTGCGCTCGTTGGGGCAGCGGCCGCTCTTGTAGCGGCAGCGACCACGGTAGCCCGACAGGCTGCTGGCACTGGTTGTCGACGACGACGCCATCGGATCGCAAATCGGGCAATGGTTCTCACCCTGCAAGATACGCCGAAACCGCCAGCTGTCGGCTCGCCCAATCAAACGCGGGCGCCAAGTGTAGCTTTGAAAAAGATTCGAAGTTTAGCACGCGGGCGGAAGGTGCAGGACTAGCGAGTGCATGGGCGAGCTAGCCAGCGTCAAATATTCCAATCACCTGAGGTCACCCGAGGCAAATGTGCGACGCTGTCGAGGACGCGACGGGCGACAGGGCATCACGAGTCACGATAGGGGACAAAGAAGTGGGGCCGAGATTAAGCGAAGTTCGAAGCTCCTTGGTGCAATGTGGGTTGATCGTAGCATGTTCTCGACCACATGTGGACTGTTCACGGAACGCAGGGCCGTCGGCGTCGTGAGATGGGTTGATGGCGATCACATCTGATAGGGCTGCGTCTTGCTAGAGGGCGACATTCGGACGCTACCATCGCTTGATTGTTTCCGCACATGGGTTTGGAAGGACAGCGTGCACGCCTTCGTGGCAAGCACGGCAACAGTTCTTAGCCATACGAGGATTCTACGTTCGCTCATGGCACTGGCACCAGATACTACTGCAATGCGAACGTGTGTTGTCCGACCTTGCATGCATAATCCAGTGCCACGATGCAAGTGATGGGGCCACCGTCACCAAGGGAGGACCTTGACCGTCACGGACTGAAGCATGCTCATTGCCCCTTGGCGTAGAGCAAGATGAGGTCGACGTCGTAGGTATATCGTATCGAAATCCCTTGTAACAAGCACCAAAGCCATTGTCTCGTGTTCAAATGCTGTTTCATACAGAATGTGAAACGCTGTCTAACACAGCATTTGAAACCGCTGTTTCATGACCCGTTTCAACGGTTATCCGGATGACTGGCCGTCCGGATTGGAGAGGTGGAGCAGTTTTCGATCTTTCGGCCAGCGAACTAGTCGACGCAGCATGGGCGATGTCGTACGCATCCTTGGTACGCTCTCGCAACATGGGCATGTGGGCGGAAGGTTGACGCTCGGTATGTGTAGGTGGTCGACCGGACCCGCTCGAGCGCGGGCCGCCCAAGCGCGTCTCGCACTCGGTCGAGAACATTGGCGAGCACGTCGCAGCGTCCAAGAAGCGAGCGTCGTGGAAGTTCACGCTCGGCGAAGCCGATACGATCCACGAAGTGACCTTGTTCCACTCGATCATGTCCATGAAGAAGGTGCGACCTTGCGGTCTACGGTCATGCGCTGACACGTGTAGGTTGTCCACTTTGATGGCCGCGAACAATACATGAGCAACACGATGGCGCCTGGTGACTGGAGCGTCGTGCTTCTCCTCGAGAGCTCGAGCTCGGCCATGGAGGTGCGCATCAACGACATTGAGGCCGGCGATATTCCCAAATACGGTGCGTCTGCCTCGCGTAATCTTCGGCCATTCATACTCTGCGCCATAGATTTCCTCATTGATCGCGTGCCGTACCGGCGCATGGACGTGTATCGCCGATCCAAAGCCAAGCCGGCGGCGCATGTGTTTGGCGCGTCGACCGGGTACAGCAACACGCCCGAACCTCATCATGCGCCGCAGCACGACGGTAGGACCATGACATTGTCTGTACGACCAACACGGCAATAGCGGGCCTGCAACATGGTCACTGGGGTCCGTCGGGAATGACGCAAGAGACGAACCGACCGCCGTCGCCGCAAGAGTTGAAGCCCAAGCCCGTTGCGCCCAAGCAGGAAGTGAATCTCCTTGATACGTCGGCACCAGACGTGTCCGTCTCGGCCCATGCAATCGTGTTTGACCCCTTTGTGACGGTTCGTCGCTGGGAGCGACTTCACCGAGCTTACATTGTATGTGCGTTTCGTACTGTAGGGAGCGCCGCCGGCCAAGCCCGTGGCGCAAGCAACAGCGAGCGCCGACCTCATGGGTCTCTTCTCCCAGCCAACGTACGGTGTGGGTAATGCCTTTTGAAATGTTACGAGTCTGTCGTCTAGACCTTCGCAGCAGCCGCAACCGATCGGTGGAAGCAACTTTGGCCAGCCAGCCTTTGGTCAACCACTTCAGCCAGCCTTCGGCCAGCCTCCTCAGCCGGGCTTTGGCCAACCACTGCAGCCAGCCTATGGCCAGGCTCTTCAGCCGGGCTTTGGCCAACCACCGATGAGCAACTATACGTACGTTTGTCTTTGGATGAAAGATAAGACCTTAGCGGTACATACAGGACGGCGCCCATAAATCGAGCACCTCCCATGCAGCAAGGATACCAAGGGTTTCCACCTACGCCAACCCCGACGCCTGGTTATGGGTACCCTAATGCGTACCCTCCGGCAGCACCCCAGCAGGCGTCGGGCTTTGCGTTTATGCAAACGCCGCCACCGCCGGCCGCCTACGCGAATGCGCCGCGACCTGCCAACTACCGGACGCCGCCGGCAAACTTGAGCATCTCGAATCTCATGGACCCGCATCACGTCAACAGCGCTGCGCCGCGCGGCCCCCCGAACGGCCAAAACATCAACATCAATGCGTTTGCAGGCATGCATTAAGGCAAGTGGTAGTTCGCCAGAGCGACGCTAGCAACTCTAACATACACACGACCTTTCGATTCATCATCGTCGCGATTCCACGGAGGAGAACACGGGCTTCACAAGATGTTATGCAGGAAGTAAGTCCATCGTCCCTGTTCGCTTTGAGTCTATAGAGTATGCGAACCCACTCTCTCGTGGTTCAGAAGGCAGCTCCCACCCGGCTCCCACCTGCCTGCCACAGTACAAGCCACCAAAAGACCAAAACTAGTTCGTAGTTGCTTGGTGGATCTGAGCGTTCTTTGAACGGAAGCATTCCTCTGCGACTTCAAGTCCCGTCGCATGCACGATTTGTGCGAAGCGATAGATCAGGTCGTGTCCATGCATCGAACGAGCGATCTTATTTATGGGGAAGAGACAGACATCACAAACTGTTCCCTTGGTGCCTTGTACTTACATACTAGAACTCGTTAACTGTGCTTCGTACCACCGTGCGAAGCCAAGTGTTGATGCGGCAATATCACCTTCTGTGGATTCTTCATGCATCATCCCGTTATCCACCTGCTGCCGCCGCCAAAGGCCATTTGACATTCAAACAACCTTTTCAAGTTTGGTTTTAATTGATGTACCTTGAAATGTTACGTTTTTCATCGAATATAGCCTTATGACGGTTGTTACAGGTTTGTATCCCAATCAAAGATCCCGACAACACCGGCTCGAGCATCGAACGAACGACGAAAATCACAGAACGGCTGGTTGCGACAACTGAATTGCGAGCTCGTCCAGGACAGTGCTTTGTGTGAAAGCTTGGTCTTGAGTATCGCTACAGTCATTCTTTCTTTTCCCGTGCATCGCTCACCATCATGTCTTCTCAAGCCCCTTCGTGCCTTCCAGAGACACCACCGCGCTCGACGATGGCCGACGCCATCATCATTCACGACGAGCTTAGCATCAACGACAACGCTGTTCCTGCGCAGAAGCGTAGCCGCAGCCGTGCCCTCGGCCTCGCTGGCGTTGTGCTGGTCACGGCCGGGGTCACGATGGCCGTCGTCTTGACGCATTCTCCGAGCGATCCGGCGCTGACCGAAACCCGCACCGGTGTCTTTGTCGCGACGAACGGCGGCGTGAGCACGACGCCGCCGGTGCCGGACCCGACGTATACCTCGCACAACTTTTCGCTCAACCCGCACCCAATCGTGCACGGCGACGTCGAGGGCCTCCGACCCGACAGCACGCGGCCTCCGTCCAAGCACACGGATCGATGGGCGTCGCAGCTTGGTGCTGGGACACCTGAGCCGACACACGCTGGTATGCCGCGGTCGGGCGCGCCGTGCGCGTCTCGCACGACATCGATCCCACAGAGCCGAAAGCCACGAACGACCTACCCGACGCCGGCGCCTACCTACCCGACACCGGCGCCTACCTACCCGACACCGGCGCCGACGCAGCCCAGCGTGTACCCGACGCAGCCTATCAAATACCCGACGCAGCCGCCGGTGTATACAACGAGCCCGCCGGTGCCCACGTCGGCCAATCCTACGGTGCAACCTTCGATGACGCCTACATCGCAACCCACCTCGCAGCCGACGACGTTGCCAACTTCG